ATATTATTACTGCAGGTGAAGCTCGCACCGGATTGGTTGGAGGCAATGGCGGAACCAATCAGAGCGCTCGTTTGTTATCACGCGTCCGCGGTCCGCTGGTCGCCAGGCAAATCAGAAATTAGCAAGAAATTAATCGTAATAGAACATCGTAGAACGTCGGCGAAGACTTGTGTTGCAAAATCAGTGCTCTTGATTAAAAATAATTAATAATTGAAGATTTATCTCGAAATTTGCGCTGTGCTTGCGTTTCAGCGATGGTAAGTTGGTTTATTCGTTACGTAGTACAATTATAAGTATGCATTAAACGTTTTTTGATCAAATTTCTGGAAAATTGTATCAACGGACGCCGCGGCGTCACAAGTTCAAAATTCTTGATTGATTTTCATACATTTTTCATAGCGCGGCGTTGAATAATTTGAATTAACACGATCTTAAATTTATAATCAGCAAGAAATGCGAACATTTAGAAGGAAATTATGTATTTTACAGATGCGACGTGAAAAATTCGAGACGACTTGGCGTACCACGAATTGGCGTATGATCCAGAGAACAACGATGGACAATGGCTAAGACCGGGCAGACAAAGGGGTCTACAGCAGTAAGGCGAGAAATGAGTGAGTCTATTTATTCCAAATATTTTACAAAGTATGGCTTTGCATGCAATGTGAGAATTGTTTCATTCTCATCGCAATTTGAATTTGAATCGTGGTTAGTCAGCGCTAACTGTTGTGCGCTACTGATATTTCTATGTGTGTAACTATACTGGTAACCTACCTACGGTGGTGTATGTGAAAGATCAACCTACCGACGGAATAGGCTTACCGATGGATCGAGTTAGCTTACCGTTTCATGATCATATCGATCGTTAATAATTTCTCCTCGGAGTTAGCATTTACCATTTGTTAAAAATCGATTAATTCGTAGAAAATGTTTATCATTAGCTGCCACATTTAATGAACGTTAACCACATTTAATAAATGTGGCAGTAAGACTGAAATCTTGAACAGAGTGTCTACTAGGACCCTCGTGTCACTTTTCATTGTTTCTGTTTGCTTGACAATGCTTTCTATTTAAAGTATTATTCTATATAATTTGAGATTTCAAAGGTAAATTGTCTAAATGTGATTATTTATTAATGTACATTTTATGATAATTCCTTTTGTACTGTTCGTACTCCGAGGAGTTTATTTTTGAAAAGAATCTGATTTCGGCACGTAACTTCAGTAGGCGGCATTTTTTCTCGTTTAATTGCAACCATATTGCGATTCCTCTTTGATATATCCGCCTGGCGCAGTTCCTTTTCGCGGAATATCATTTTTTACACTGCGCCTAATTGGCGACGAACTGTAACGATTATACAAAGACTTTCTTTGTATAATTATTATATTTGCATACTGTTTTGTGATGTATCCTGCTTTCCCGAAGTAAGTAAAGGGAACTCCCTTTGGAAAGAAGCTACTTCGTGTAGGTATAACGTATCCCATTTATATTAATTTTATTCTGTAAAAAAATGCTTATGTAATTATTATTGTATTGAATTCGCATTCTGCTACCAAGCAGCGTCCAGTTTTTTCTCGACGCTCACGTGAACAAACCCTGGAGGATACACAAACCGTAAATATAGCATAGGCACGTAATCAAAGACTCTGAAAAGAGATCGGGTATAAAAGGTATAAACATACAATCATAAAATCTTAAGACATTATGCAAACATGCAGGAAATTAATTTGTATCTGTTTATTAGAGAGAAATATTCATTATTTATTAGCTTCATTGTATCAAATGATACATTATTTTCTTGTCAATCTTTCTGCAATAATTAGTTGCATTATAATCTGCGTTTTTCTGGATTAGTTCTAAAGATTTGAAATTCGGAATTTCGATCGCATTGTTCATTTACATTTTTACACCGTCTCATTTGGTAGACAATATGTTCTTGAATAAATGTTGAATTACGAACGCGGGATGGATATGGTAGAATAATGAAAAGTGATGTTTACTGAGAGCGCGGGGCAGCGTCGAATTTATTGACAATTCCGATGGAAAACGCGGGTTCGGAAACGCGCGCGGGAGAACGAATGGGCTGTCGTCGAGCATAATCGCGGCGTATTCACCGGGTGAATCGAGGCATCGATCAAATTAATCCGACTGCACGCAAACTGCGAGCTTGTTTGCCCGATTGACGCGCGCCGATCATCGCGCCGATCCTTTTTGCCTTTGCCTTTGCCATCGTCTCTATTCGACCGTATGCAAATCGTCCCAGGAATGATCGAGAGGCCCGTAATCTGATCGTACATCTCTGCCGAGTCGAAAACCTGTCCGTTACCCGGCGCGATGAATCCGTTTCGCTATTTGCCACGCACGCGTAAAAACCAAACGATTTTCCGGCGTCGCGGTCTCGGTTTCGTGAACGGTGGCCAACGGGCTCGATGAAGGCAGCTTTGTAAAACGATATCGCTAAGTAGAAATCAGTGGCGCCCGTCGTCCTTAAGGGCTCCTCTCTCGTTCACGCTCCCAGAATCGCGACTACCGGGAACTCGATGCTAACTTCATTAAAATATTGCCATCAACACCGGGTCCCATTGTCTTCGAAACTTAACCGAGCGATTAAACTCGGCCGCGTTTCACGAACAGTGTCCGCGTTTTCTCGCTCCTCTGCAAAAACTCAAACTGCATCCTCTCCTCAGATATTTTACCTCGTACATTTTAAATTTCAAAATTCATCATTAACTGAATCACTTCCTGTGCAGATCAAATAATTTCCTCGAGTTTGTTTTAGACTCTCTTGAAACGTTTTAACTCGCGTACCTTTCGTATCATAAATCGTGAGATCGTAAAAATCGTATAGCACTGAAAAGTAACAATGTTTAATGCGATTAAAACGAGGGAATGGAAGGAGATCGGTAAAAGAAGGCTCGTGCCGTGGCGCGGCGCCTCGTAATTCATTTAGACGGTAGCTCGACGAGACAGGGTCAATTACGGGCGCGGCAAAAAACCGCACGGGGAACGAGCAGCTTCTTCGTACGACGTGCGTGGTCCCTGAGGTTTCTCGGCCCGGTTGAAAAGGGGAAAGAAGCGCGTCGCGTCGCGAGCCTCGTGTCCTCCGTCACTCAACCGGACATCGTTAAAGACTCTCTGTCATTTCGCATTTCGGTGTCTGAACCACAGGCACCCGTGTGATATTTCAATAAGGAGACCAGCAGAATTGCTAGCGAATTTCCAGTTTAATTATTCAATTTTTAGTTCAATTATTAACACTAGATTGCCCAAAGAAGTAATTTTGACTGGTTTTGGGCAAATGTACAAATAATAATGCATAAATTATTTTTTTTT